AGATTCCCTGGATTACTTAAAAAGCAAATCTCAGACATCATATCATTTCAGCTGTAAATATCTGTTTAATTAGACCAAAGAAATCAAGAGGCCCTTAGTTTCAATACCAAATTTCATTACCAAATCTAACATATTACAAGATGTTTGTTTTTAATATCATTAAATATACTCTCTGTGTACAAATTTCTCATATTATCTCATAGCTACACTTGATACTCAAATCAAGATCCAAACAGCTTCGATACAGGTATATGTTAAAATGGTAATCCTCGCAATTATTAGATACCTATGTGATTTATTCCCACAGCATCCACCCCTCCATTCCTAGTAAGCATAGAAAAAGACTAAAGAAATGATGAGTAATTTGCTGAGGTTAAGCACTGGTCCAGAAAGACTCAACCTGGCTCTAGCTCTCATCTGCTGTTATAAAACAGGCTAAATTCACCAGCTTGGGTATTATTTTACACTCCTGGCACAAATATTCTCTCTTTTGTGATTTTGAAAAAGACTAAAACTCACATTAGAAAATTCCTGTTTTGTTTCCCATAGGCAATGTTAAAGACAGTAGGGAGTCCTTAAAACATGTGCTGTGTCAAAAAATGCCTCAATTCCCCACACTTAATAGAATAGTTCAGGAAATACCTGGGAAGATAAACCCAGAGCACTATTTACTTTCTAATATATACAACAAAAAGTAAAGAAAAGTGATTCCCGTTCACACTATTTAGTACAGATACAAGCTGTCTGAATTCACACATTCATTTTATATCTAAACTTCACCATGTACAAGGGCTGATCAAAAACCATGGTGTGGGGCCAGGAATTTGGCTCAGTGGTTCTGTCACCTTCCTTGCAAGCGCAAGGGCCCGAGTTTGATCCCCAGTACCAAAACAAAGAAACAAACAAACAACAACAACAAAAAAACCCATGATAGCATATTTGAGTAAAAAGAATTATTACAGTAAAAGACACATTACCATTATTCCCTCTCAGAACGCTTCCCTTCACTTTTAAAACTCATTCCATCATTCTTGCCACTTTCTGAAGCAGTTCTGGAAGCCTTCTTTCATGTCTCCACCAGGTCTGATAAAAAATACAGTGAATAGGGACTGGGGATTCAGCTCAGTGGTGCTGCCACCTGCTTCACAAGTGCAAGGTCCCGAGTTCAATCCCCAGTACACCCCCAAAAAAACTGAATGCTGCTGCAGTGTGCCATCCAATGGAAAAGGAAGGCTCATGAGAACATATGGCACATCCTTCTCTACCCTATTCGGTACATTTAGCATTCTGTGATTTTGGGCTCTTCCCCAAAGTCAAATGACTTTGCACCGACTCAAGACATCACAGTAACCACATAAAATTAAAGACACAAAAGAGGACTAGCAGAACTCCTTCAGAAACTGCCAAGAACAACTGGAGTAGTATGCTCAAAGGAAGGGGAATTATTTGCCTGGGTATTAATGTTAATGTCTTTTACATTGTCAATTATACCTTTAGGATATTATTTACAATTATAGTTTTTCACACCAGAGAAATGTTCAGTATTTACACATGTGTGACTTATCTATTTCACTTGAGTATAACCTCAATATGTATCCATTTTCCTATGAATGGCTCTAATTTCTCATTCTTTATGGCTGAGTAGTATTCCATTTTATAGAAAAACCACATCTTTATCAGAAGAAAAGGGCTAAAGGTGTAAGGGAAGTGGGAAGGGTAGGGGAAAGGAAATAAGGGGAAAGAAAAAATATGAAAAAATGAAAAATGGAAATAAAGTTTTCATAAATAGGGAAAGGAGGAGGGGGTGAAGGGAGGGCAGGGACAAGGGGAAAAAATGAGAACCAAGACCTGTCATGTAAAGGTACAAGATCCCAATGATGAATGTAACTGTTCTGTATATCTAAAATGTACCAATAAAAATAATGAGGAAAAAAAATAAAGAAAAATTTAAAAAATAAATAATATGTCTTTTACTATAATAATTTTAATTCACTGCAATTTTGATTATATTTTATATGTAAATGACTAGAAGTATTCAGGATTGAATGTGCAGCAGCAAAGTAAAATTTATGTATTTTCCATTCAGTACTTGTTATTCTATACTGCTATCGGAGACAACTCTAACTAGAATGCATATAGTTCTTTTTTTTCTTTTTCTTTTTATTGTGTTTATTGGTACAATCTAGGTATACAGTACAGTTACATTCATTACTGGGATCCTGTACCTTCACATGACAGGTCTTGGCTCTCATTTTTTCCCCTTGTCCCTGCCCTCACTTCACTCCCTCCCTCCATCACCATTTACAAACACTTTACTTCCATTTTTTCATTTTCTCATATTTTTTTCTTTTCCCTTGTTCCCTTTCCCCTACCCTTCCCATTTAGCACACACCTGTAATCCCAGCACTCGGGAGGCTGAGGCAGGAGGATCACTGTGAGTTCGAGACCAGCCTGGGCTACATAGTGAGTTCCAGGTCAGTCTCAACTACATAGTGAGACCCTGTCTCAAAAAAAAAAAAAAAAAAAAAATCTCACATACAGTTCTTATGAAAAATAAGTATTTCTTACTAAAGTAACAAGCCTGATGCAGAGGTTCTCTTTGATTGTTGCTTTAGGTCAGTGTTTCCCTAAAGGGTTCATGAGTCTGGAAATAGTTGAACATAAATAGCAAAGATCTTTGGCAAAGATTTTGGTATTGTTTTCTATATTTTCAGCTTTCTATTTCACTTATGAAATGTTCTTACAACAATTGTTTAACTTGAATCTAAATGAGTCTGTAGATATACCCTTCAATCCATAGGAAATATAGCGGATAGACAAAGGACAGTAAGACAAAACCAGAATATGGAAAATTTTACAAGACAACTGTCCTTTGTTGAAAAAAAATCGTATCATGAAAAAATAATGGGAGAACTATTCTAGAAAAAAAGACTAGTAAGAGAGTCTATAGAGATATAACAATCAAAAGTAGTGGGTTTACCTTGGTCTGATTCTGATTCAACAAAAAAGAAGATGATGAACAAAGAATAGCTATAAGAGACAATTGGGGGAAAATGCACCAAACTTAAACTATTTTAAATTTTATTATGATATCAGAATTAAATTTTATTTCAAAACTATTTTTAAAGTCAAATAAACTACATCATTTAAAATAGGTATCAGAGACTTAAAAGTATGCATTTCCTTCTTTTACTAGCCATTCTGTATCAAATATGAAAGTGGTATGAAATACATAGCATAGATATTACTGGATTAAGCCATCACTTGCTCTGGGTGAAGTTAGAAATGGATGTTTACAATGTAATTTCACTAACCTGAGAATGCTAGGCAGGTATGAAATAATGAACTTAATGAAATGGATTATTTTGACTGATTAAGAAAGTAATGCTTAATATACAAAAACTATTTTTGAGCTCCACTTGATCACTTAACAAATGATTCCTTTTTAAAAAGCTAAACTGTGAAAGAACAAGGATGAAAGTTCTCAAAAGAAAGTCAATTAGATTGTAAGTGCTTTGAGTGCCTAGAAAATATCATTTTGAACCTCAGAACATAAAATGCTCAGTAAATGTTTCTTGATTACATAAAGTATTTTTTAAAATAACGAGGAGTGAAAGTGGGTTATATGACATACGGAAATCAATGAAATAATCACACAACATTGGAACTAAAATTCAAGACTCACTCCAAAGCCTATGGTCTTTATACTGTACTATTTTTCCTTTTCTTCATTAAAATAACTTACATAATTGAATTACAAAAAAATTTTTAAAAATTGAAGTTGGCTCAAAGCTTAGTGGTAGATCATTTTCTTAGCACACACACGGCTCTGGGTTCCATTGGGTACCATAAAAAAAGACAATATACATCTACATTAATAAAAGGAAACCATAATCTCAAAATATTAGTTGAGGTCCATGAAAATAAGTTTAGTAAAATTAAAACTGTGATCATAGATTCTTGTATCCTAAGAAAACAATAGAAACACCAGAGGCAGAAACATAAAGACTTGGGAAAGAAACAGAAAAGAGAAAGAGCAAGAGAAGGGAGAGACAGGGAGAAGGAAGGAGAGGAAAGAAGCTAAGAGGAAGAGAAAAGGAGAAACTAAGGGAGAAAAAGAGATCTGAATCTAAATTAGTATCATTTCTAATCTACTGGTAATAACAACAGCATTTTCATTGCGTAAGATATAGCCAAAAAAAGAAATGTTTACTTCATTTAATCCAACAAAGTGAAGAGAATATATTATAAATAAAAGAAAAAGAGGAAACACATTAGCAAAAAGAGAAAAGATAAAGAATCAAAAGTAAATAGAGCTTTTAATAACATTTTTATTTAGCTGGGAAAAAATTTAAAAAGAAAATCCTCTTACAATTTTTAAAAATCGAAATATAAAGACTAATTCAACACATTTCATCAGAATGAAAATATTGCTCAATGACAGCAACAGTAAAGTTCTAATCATAATCTATAATTAATTTCTATAAAAGTACAACATTTAAAAAACCTGGTGTAGGAGTATATTAACTATATAAGAAACTACAATTGTAAATCTGTGTAAGTATAAATAGCACACTTCTCTTTTGCACTTCTGAGACTTCTTATGAAAATTTTAAGATACAATAGACATATAAAATTAAGCTATGAAGGCAACATTATGCTATAAAATATATTTTAAATACCACAGGTAAAAATGTCTACACGAATAGAAAATCACTTTCTTTTCTAGTGCTTTGTAATTAAACTAAAACTACTGCTAAAAAGAAATTTTTATATATTCTTTGCACTCTTTTACAAATGTTACATAATTTGATTTAGTATGAACTATTCCAAACTACTAATAATTTAAAATACATAAAAGTCAGAATGACAACTACTCTGGTTCATTCTGAGGTTTTTAATATTTAAATTCTCAAAATGAAATTATTCCACTATTTATAAAGACAACTTTCAAGTGGCAAGAATAAAATTCATAAATATTTTTCATAATTTTGGCATACCTTTAGCTAAAGCTTCTTTGTATTTCTCTTTGGCAGAATTCATTTCTTTTATTAACTGTCGATAGCTAGATTTTAATTTTTCCAATTCTGTTTTTGTAACCTGTCAAAGAAACAAAATGCAGAAAGTTGTTAAATATTTAAATTTAAATTGGTCAAGAGCTGAATTACAAAACATTAAAATTGATCTGTATTTTACTATTTATTGGTCAGAGTTGCTTTTCAATATATAATTATAGACAATAAAATAAAAATTAGCTTAACACTAGTGATAAATTCAATAGCATATAAAAACAGATTAAAAAGGGAAAATCAAGAAAAATACTATAATAATCCAAAACTGTAAAAGTTATTATGGGAATTATGTCTCTCAGGAGGAAACGATGTAGGAGATTAAGAGTGAGGCAAAACTGGTCAAACAACTGGGTAAAATCTGTCAAGGTCATGGAACATTGACATGCACAGAACACAGAATCCAGGATGACTGTAACGCCTGAGTGGTGCACTTGGAACCAATCAGAAAACTGCTATTTTCAATTCTTCCTTTACAAACCAAGTCTTCAATACTGATAGGACAATTTAAATCTGGCACTGGGCCAAGTTAGTCTCTCATAGGACAACCGTCCAAGTGCCTTATTTGCATAAGGGAGAAGCCAATCCATTAATTCTAGATAGAAAATCCTCCTTTTCCTTATCCAAGTGGCCACTGTGAGTCTGCTGACAGCCCATTTTCACTCTGCAGAATGTACTTCTTTTCCACTCTCAATAAATGTACATCCCTGCTAGCTTTTCTGTGTGCCTGATCCAGTTCTATTTCAGGACACCAACAGCCTGGAAAGAATTTCCCTGATACCCATTTAGGTAACAACGTGGGGACCTGCTCAGTGCTCATCCCCCTGCCATGAAGGCCCAGGGGACCACCTTGCCTTTTATAGCCTGGAGAAGGCCCCCCACCTCCTGGCTCTTGTCACCTGCTCCTATGCCTTTATCTATCACTGTCTCTGTCAGCTAGGTGGTTTTAAACTTCCATTGCTAAAGGACGCATAATATATTTTTAAAAAGGCCTCAAATAATAAAATTTAAAGGCTATTAATTTACAATGTTAGAAATACTTTCTATCATTAAAAATTAAAGTTATTTTATTATAATTTAGGTTTTCTAATAGTAACTGAGTAATCCTATTTCACCAGTTATAATTTGCATTTTTTTTAACATCTCTGTAAAGAGGATGCATCCCATTTACAAAGATGAACACTGCTGGCCAGGTAGCACTCATAACAGGGTTCACACACAACATGCATAAATTTGGCTATTGTTTATGTGGAATAAACAAATGTAACTCCTTGACTTGATAGTCAAAAGGTATTTAAATACAATTTAAATTAAAAATGACTCCCAGAAGTCTGTAAATCTTCTGAAATGCCTTCTAAGAAGACTGAGCAAGAGAAAACATCAAAAATTTTCAAAAGAGGCACCAACAACCAGGAAAAAAACTGAGACTAATTGCTTAAGAATTAATTCTGTATCACAATTGAAATACCGAATAGTTTCTCTGGTGTGAAAAACTATAATAGTACACAAGATCCTAATGAGATAATTAATAATGTGAAATGGGAAGTAAAGGACTAAAGGTGTAGGGAAAGTGGGAAGGGTGGGGGAAAGGTAA